CGTCGTGTATCTGTAGTCGCGAGGAAAAACACCGCGCGTTTATCAGAAAAAGCGAATAAAAGCGGAGCTCTGTGTTAAAAATGAAATCGTACGTGTTTAACCAAAGGCTAGATAAGAAGAATCGGTGTTCGGAATTTTAAACGTCGGTATCTCGATTTCACGCGAGTCAGGGCCATACTCGAAGGGTTAATCTTCCGGTAGATAAATTAAAATTCTCTACAGATATCAGCGATTCGGATACGTAAATGTTTACTAAAGGAAACGTCGACGAGCGATTCGTTACGTCCATTCATTAATCGCGTTTCTATATATGAATGACCGCAATATTATGTTTTATTCACGAAGATAAATCCGTGAATTAACCTCTGTCTTTCAACCGTGATCAATGAACTCGCGCTCCTCCGTCGAGTCTCCTTACGACCGAACGCTTTCCCAACCCCAGCCGATCTGCAAGTCGGAAACTGCGAATGGTATCACGGCGGAAAGCCAAGGAACCGCGACCCCTCTGCATATTTCGCGTATTTACGAGCCAGCTCGGACCCTCCTCGCACGCGTTTCGCGTAAATCGCCGAGAACTTATCGCCGGTCGCGTGTATACCGAACGAGGCGATCCGGGGCACGTAATTCTGGTAAGTGGAGCCGAATGTTCGCGAATCTCCCGTTCGATGCCGCATATGGACGGCCACTTTACGATTATGCGATCCGCCGGAGGTCGAGCGTCGTTCGTCTGCGACCACCAGCGAGAACCCGCTTCCTCTCGCGTATTTTTCGAAACCGGAGCATCTCGCGTGCAAGGCTTCCTCCCTGCGAGCTGTGGCAGCTTTACTCGAAACGCGTAGTATTTCGTAAACTCGGCGCAAATGACCAGCCGTTTGCCACGGTTTATGGCGCGAAGCGGTCGAAAGTTAAGCCCCGACGTTACGTGTCCGTGGTCCCGCGTCGCGACGACAGCGACTGTCTACTTTGGATTTTTATTGCACCTTTAGTCATCCTAGCTTTATATCGCGCTGTTTAGCAGATTTACGATAAAACGCCGGCACGATCGTGGCGCGAATTTTGGTGATTGTTCCTCGAGTTTGACGTTTGTGGCGGTCGTAAACGCCAGGAAACAAGGGTACCAGGCGTTTTCTTCGAGCGCGATCTCTGCACCGCGCCGTCTCTAAAATACATTGAACTCTAAATCAGCGGGTAACTTGTCAACGACGAGTGGCCGTTTCTTCGATGCTCGGATGAAAAATTTGGCACACACCGGGCGCGGTAAATGTTCGTGGCCAACGTCTCCGAGTAAATCATAGACGAGGACGTTTAGTGCCTCGAAACGATTTCTTCTGCGCGACCGGGTCTTTATTTATATTTCCGCGCGCTCGAATTCTCCAGTCTCGCGCCGCGTTTGTCCAGCGATACGCGTCGCGCACAATTTACCGATCGCGAGTCCGCGGACGCGACAGTCGCTCGAGCAACAAGTAAATCGCTCGCGTCGCTGTTACTTTCGCAAAATTTTTCTCGATACCGTGCGACGCACGAAGCACGCTCCGAGCACTCGAACCGTGGAATCGCTTTATGCTCGCGGGACAAGCCGGATTAATTTGAATAGCAATAACGAGGAAAGAACGCCGGCGAGGCAAATGGAGCGTAAGATCGGTCGTGGAGAGACAGTTGGACTGGATGCCGCGGCTTTTTAAATAGGTTTTCCAGGGGACCTTTAAGCCGCGGCCCAGCGGGAGTTCGCCTTGCCAGATAAGCGACTCCTAAATTCGAGCGATCTTTTCGAAACGCTCGTTCGACCGTGACTGCGCTCGCGGTGTATCGAAAGAGATCGCGCGATACCATTTCGCGAAGAAGAAAAAAAAAAAAAGAAACCGGGAAGAAAGAAAAATGAAGAAAAATCGAGTGGTCGATGGAAAAGCGTGGAAGGAACGAGTGACACTCGAGCGAGCTCGTTAGCGATCTTCGAGAAGCTCGTACGGGAATATTCATCCAGTTTCCGCGACCTCGTTCAGTTTTAATTAAACCTAGTCGCGGTCAAATCCGCTTTCGCGGGGTCTAATAGACGAGGACTCACTCGTAGCTACTGGAATCCCAAACCGGAGCTCGTTGTTCCCTGAGGAAATCCACCTGGCACGCCGCGGAACACACGGTTCAATGTTTCCAAAGCACTCTTCTTCTCGTTTATCCACCCAAGTGACACACGAGAAGCCCACTGCACTGACACTGGTCGAACAACGATCGAGGCCGAGTCGAGTTCACGTGCGATGTCGACCTGGCGACGTCGAGGATGCAACTGCCAACTCCCTCGAACACCCTTCCACGATCCCCGATCTCTCTCGCACTATCTTTCTTCCTCGCTTCGCCCTCTCGGACCTCTGTCTACCGCCGTCACTTTCGACGAAGGCACGCTTCAGTCGAACGATCGGGTCGCGACTCGCGTAGTCCTGTCGATCCGGACATCTCACGGGACAGTGGTGCAAGCAGCAGCAGCAGCAACAGCAACACACGCCACCGGTCGCGTTGCCACCCTTAACGAGCGAACGAACACCGAGAGCCCCAGCGCGCGCGGCTCATGTCGGCCAACTGACTCCGAGCGCAGAAACCTCGGGGCCCTTCGCCTCTTGGGCGCCGCTGCTCGCTCGCCGTGGTGGTGGAGACGCCGTCGACCCTGGTGGTGGTGGAGACGTGTCGATGGTGGTGGTGGTGGTGGTGGTGGTGGTGGTGGCAGTAGCGGCGGAGACGAGCTGGACCCGCCGTGTTCGAGCCGCCACGCTGCGCTGGTGGGAGCGCGGATGCTGGAGCGAGGCTCGCTCGCCAACGCCGATCGGAGTGCCGCGCGAGCTGTCGAGAGAAGCGGATCGACGCTGCTCCCGGCAGTCGCTCTTTTCTCGTGCTAGTTCTGCACGCCGATCTTGGAGGGGATGATGCGACTGTTCGTTCGGGTGGGGAGACCAGGGGTTAACCGAGGAGGGATCTCGAAAGTTCGCGGTTCGCAGTTTTTCCATATCGTTTTCCATTTCGCCGCGATTATCGCGGGTCCTAACGAATTTCTCGTACGCGTACCTTGCCAAATATCTCGTTTCGAGATTTCGAGTTATTTCTTGTTCCTCTTGGTTTATCTAAATCGAGACTTCCGCGTTCTCGTTGGGAAAGTATGTCGACGTTTCGGAAGCGTTACGAAGTCATTCCGAGGTCAGACGACGCACCGATACTTCGCAACAAACTATCAGACAGGAAGTACGTATTTCATTGAACTCCGTGATAACCTCGATGCCTCGAGTCGTATACCGATACCACTCTCTTTCACGCGCTATACCACGAGCCGCACTGCGTTTGTACAAGCCTCTGTCCCACGGTACGCTAACCGCGTGCAACAGAAACTCGAGGGAAAAAAGAAGGAAAAAAAACAAGAAAAGAAACGAATGGAAAAAAGAAGCAACAAACAGACTGCACAGTTTCATCGACTCCCATTAAAAGGCAACCCTTAAAAGGTGAACACGCGGCGGTCGTTTCCTGTTGGCGCGGCGCGGGGTCACCGGTTCACGGTCGACGGGGAGCCTTAATAAAAAAGGGTTCAGGAAATCAGAGACGTTCTTCCTGCTTCTTACCACCACCACTACCGCGCGCCATCACTGCCGTTTTTCGACCGGTGCATAAATTTGTTTTTTCCCCAAATAAATACGCCGGCCATTTATTTACGATCTTGCCGTTTCCCGTGACCCGCGAGCCCACCTCCCCGTCCCGTTTGTCCAGGTCGGCCCTCCCTACCGGCCTGGCCCTCTCGCTGGTCCCTCTCTTTGGTCCCTCTCTCTGGTCCCTCTGTTGTACACCGAACTGGGCAGGACTTGTCGCAGCGCTAACATTCACCCGGATAAATAAATATTGACCGTCGAGGCAGGCACCGCAAACAAATCCATTAATAACAGGAATTTAACCCCGTTGCGGAGGTGAACGAGCGCGCGCGCGTATTTAACCGTGGCCGTGGGGCACGGCTCGACCGCGTGTCCTCTTGCCAGCGAAATCGGCGTTGTCGGTGTCAATTTATATCTGCGGGTAGATTCACCGTTACGCTAGAATAATTTAATAACGCTCGGCTACGCGGGGGTGGCTGCTGGCTGCGAGTACACCTCGACGCCGTGTTTCTACGCGCCGAATTCTTCGTCCCTGTCGCGTTTGCTCTTTGTCTAGCGTCGTTCAACCCCGCGACCAGAGAGCGCAGTCGATTGATCGGCGGCAGAGAGGAAGGGGCGAGAAAGAGAGCGGAGAACGGGGGAGAACAACGAACGGCGACGCGCAATTAGCAAGACTGTAATCAAATATAGCCGGATGGTTAATATCGACGGGAACGGTTCCGAGACAGAGCCCGCTGTCTCGTTAGTACCGTGGCAAACACACGCTGTAACCTTTTCTTCCCTCTCGTGAACCACGAGGGGGCCCGTGGAGGGGGTTGATTGATTGGGTGATGGAGGCGCGAGAGGTTAACTTAACGCGTATATTTTTCTCGTCCTCTTTTTAACCCTTTCATGCTGTATGTACATAACAAATGACTTACAAAATATCCTCTCTTTTTTCCACCGTGTAACTTGTTTGTTCCCAACGTTCGGCACTTAACCACCGTCTACGCGATCGCTTTTCGAACCTTCGATTCGCAATTTCGCGCTCAACCATTTCGCCGTTGTCGCTCCGTTCTGCTAGAATTTACTAGAGTAGAATTTTCGGTATTTTCTGGCTCGACGACGACGACGACGACGACGACGACGACAAAACAGTTCCGGATCGATGCACCGTGTCGCGAAGACACGAGCAGGCTACGTAGACGAAGCAAAGCCAAAGACGAACAACAATGGCGCATCGCACGCGCGTGGCCGCACGAATTGATCAGCGTGTAAATACAAACGCAACGGCCATCGTACTGCTGTCTCGTACACGTACCCAAGACGACGGCACGTCCCTATCACGTATCTATTAGCCTGCACGAGGCGCAGACAATAGACAGGAACCGGCTCGACGAAAATTCTACCCTTCCTACCCGATGCCTCGCCCTTCGGTTCCGCCGTGGAAACTCGGCCCCGTGGAAGATGATCGTCTCGTAATCCTATATAAACACGGTTATTTTTATCCCATTACAGGGCGGTTCCGTAACGGCCTGTAGAACACGGGGCCTGCATAATGCCACGCTGTGCGTGTACACGGCCGCTTCTAAGGGCCGCCGACGAGTAGGGATGACCGCAGGATCCCGAGGGGTGCACCGGTGCCACACCCCCTCCACTGCCCCGAAGCCTTCCAACTACGGCACCCAGCGGGGGTTCCCGGTGCATGATACAGCCCTTCGAGGCCTGTCCTGCCTCTGCACCGGTCGCATTCCTCCGGAGACCGCGTTTTCCTTCGAACATCGTGAAAGGGGGTCGTGAAAGGGATCGTGAGGACACCACGGTCTCGGTCGAGCAGGTCGAATTTTGATGAACTTTATGAATTTTATGTGGGCTCATTCCCAACGAATTCGTGAGGGATAACCAACGTCTGTACGGGAGGAGGGACGCGAACGTTCTAGAGGTTCCCGTGTATGGACAAAATGTAGCGTAAAGAAAATATGGTACGTCGTTCGAGGGATATTTGGAGGGATATTTACAGGGATATTTAGAGGGATATCGCGGTTAGGGGTTGCTTTCGCTTGGACGAGCATTTGGTTTATCCGGTGATATTTTGAATAAAAAAGGAAGAAGAGTTGGCTGGAATTTATCGATGGTGTCGCGTAGTGGAGATATAAAGCGAACGGTGTACCCCTGGTAAGAGAAGAGGACGGTAAAAGGGAGAGAGCGCGTTTAGCGATGTTCAGCCTGGTTTTCATTGGCATCCAGAAGGATTCCAGAGGCGGACGGGGCTCTATTTTTGTTTACTCGTGCCACGGTGATTCCGCGTCCGTTTATTTTCGTGTCGTGCGCTAAATTTCCTCGTTATTTCCCGTGCGTCAATGAGGGTTTCTTTGATGTTCGTCACGCCGACCCGTTCAAGTGTCTGTGGATCTTGAAACGATGCGGGTCCAGCAGCGAACAGCGAGTCGGTCAGCCTCGGCGAACACGTGTCGTGCACTCGTCCACGAAATTCCGTGGAGCACGTGACGCCACCGCCATGGAACAGAGGGCTCGTTTTCGAGTTTCCATAGCGTTAACGACATGCCTCGTCACGTAGCATTGCGAGGGGACAAAGATTTCCCGAGGTTTTCTCCCTAACAGGAGAAATCTGCCGTGCCAAAGATCCTTCGGAATTGCATACGAAACATCCGTGTTTCCCATTTCCAGATTCGCGTCGAGTACCGTCATTCCGAAAGTACTTCGTTCCACGCACGTTTTTCCGAGGGTGCGTTATCAGAGTGGTCGTTTTCGTAGGTTGGTGCCCTTAAGAGGGAAATCTTGTAAGGCTGTTTCGTTTCACAAGAACATCGATGGAACTCGAGGACGCAATCCTCAGAGTTTCCGGGACCTCGAGTGTCAAACTTCTGCGGTGGAATTGGAACGGGGGGGTTAATTTTTATTAGGGGAACAGGGGGAACAGACGAGAGGAACGCGAGATCGAGTTAAAACTCGCGAACGAGAGAAACTCCGTTGATGGTTAAGAACGCGACGCTGTGAAATTTAGGAAGACGATTGTTTGGAGAACAGGTAGCTCGGATATCCTGGCGACGCTTCGAGATACGAAGCGCAAACACTCGGACAGGTATACTTCTGTATCTTGCGAAGTGCCGCGTTATCCTAGACGCCGTTTCGATTACTCTCCCAACGAAACCTTTTCACCCGACCCTCTTCTTCTCGACCGATTCTGCGTCCTCTTTTCACGTCCTTCCCACGAACGGACCCAAAAGCACGCTTCGCTCCACTTGAAGATCAAAGTGTCCGATTTTCTGCGCGGAGATAGTCCTAATTGACTGGCCGCGTTAGCGATAACCTCGGCAGTCCGTTTGGGAATTCCTTCAGCCCGAAGATCGAGAAGACCGCGATCCTCGGATCCTCCCGAGATCGTTGGCCGGATGGAACCGGTCGACGAAAACGCGGTTTCGCGTAACGGGAGACAAACGATCGATCACGCGGTTCCGGAGAGAAAGAAACGAAGCCGAGGCGAAGTTGGAAGCACGAGATGGGGGTTAGGTGATGGCGAAGACGAAGTAGAAGGAAAAAGC